CCACAAGCAGCCCCCATACACAGCACACATTCATATGTATCATACACAACACCACAAACTACTTGTAAACATATACAATATAATAGCTCATATACGCACAAATACAACAATACAAAGCAAATAAAGTTTAAATAACACAAGCAGAATACGGCAGTATACACACCTCAATTTAAAAAAATACGACCGGCACGCTATGGGACATCACAATCCTATATCAGCACAATGCTGCTAAAAGGTTGCCTACCCCTGCTCTAGTCCATATTTATAACTATGTGAAGAATGATCTAAGCTAGGGGTAGGCAACCTTCAGCACTCCAAATGCTGTGTACTACATCCCCCATTATGTTCTTACACCCGTAATGCTAGCAAAGCATCATGGGAGGTGTAGTCCAAAACATCTGGAGTGCCAAAGGTTGCCTATGCCTGATCTAAGCTATGATGATTGGTTGAAGGACATAGAACGGGAGGCTAATATTTCCCTTCTTAGTGATTCACCCATAATAGAACATCTTAAATTTATTGGAGGACAAACCAACATAGAGAAAAAAATGGGGTACATAATACACTCTTGGCCTTTCTTTATGACAGGACTTCTTAAGACTTTAAAAGAAAACAGGATACTGAATTATTATTATTATTATTATTATTATTATTATATTTATAGAGCACCGTCAAATTCCGCAGCGCTTTAAAATGGGTGGACGAACAAACATGTAGTTGTAACCAGACAAGTTGGACACACAGGAACAGGGGGGTTGAGGGCCTTGCTCAATGAGCTTACATGCTAGAGGGAGTGGGGTAAAATGACACAAAAAGGTAAGGATAGTATTAGACTAATGACAGTTGCAGAAGAGGAAACAGTCAGGAGCTATTAACAGTTCAATTGATACGCTTTTATGAAGAAGTGGGTTTTCAACGATTTTTTGAAGGAGTGGCGACTGGGAGGGAAGGAGGAGGGAAGTGAGTTCCACAGGAACGGTGCAGCCCTCGAGAAATCTTGAAGGCGAGCATCAGAGGTGGGAGTACAGACAGAAGATAGACGAGTCTTCAGCAAATCGTAAGGGCCTAGACGGGACATACTTGTGTATAAGGGAGGATAGATAGGTGGGAGCAGCATTGTAGAGATTTGAAAGCAAGAACCATAATTTTAAATTGAGCTCTATATTTTATAGGAAGCCAATGTAGGGACTGACAGAAGGGTGAGGCATGGGAGGTGCTGGCAGACAGGAAGATGAGCCTCGCCGCTGCATTCATTTTGGACTGTAACGGCGCTAGTTGGGAGCACGTAAGACCACTGAGAAGCGGATTACAGTAGTCAAGGCGAGAAAGGACAGTGGAATGGACCAACACCTTAGTCGCATCTAAGAATACCAGATTGGACACATACAGTGACAATCTGGGCATTCAAAATGGCTAATACCAAGATTTACTTGCTGAGCATGAAACCCGTCAGGCTGATCATGAAAAAGAACTGATAGCTATGACGGATAAATGTGCACAGGGAATAAATCAGCTTAAAAAGCAATTGGAAGAATATGAAAAGGAGAATCAAAAATCAGACAGTGAGATTAGTAGTCATCATTGTGTGCCAAGAGGTTGCACAAAAATGCAAGACGGGGCTACCTGTAAATCCCCTCCTTATTATGATTTTCCCACACCAAACCAGGTTTTCCTAAAACAGTCTGAAAGAAAAGAGGTGAGTAATTCTGAGAAAACCCCTGTGGAACAGGATTCCCCATCTCATGATATTGCCAAAATCTGTCAATCTTGGGCAGAACAGTTTGAAAAGACTGTCTTGGCCAAGCTTGAGAAAGGGAGTCTGGTTCAGGGTAATAGGAGTAAAAATAAAAAAAATAGTTCAGGGTAATAGGAGTATGATGGTGCTTCCCCATCCCGAACCGGCCTGCGCACACTGTCTTCAATCCCCATGTTGGGATGCGTCCTACCTGGCCCCAACAGAGCTATAATCACTCTTAACACCCCAACCTGGAAGCTACGAGGCTAGGCTCATGGCCACACAGGAAAGCGCTCTCTCCACAATTACAGTGTAGGTATCAGCCGGAGAGAGGGATGCGTGCCAACAGGGAATCCCTGGGGCTGTGAGCTGGTCTCACAGCCGCAGGGCCCCCTATGGCTGTGTGTAAGTCTGTTCCGACCAATGGGAGACGGAGTGTCCATTCAAATTGAGTTCACGCCATTCTCCTGGTTGGTTGACACGAGGGAGCACTGATTGGTCGCTGCAAGGAGCCAGCGACTAATCAGAGCAGGAGCGCCTATTTAACTGGGGTTTTGCACCTTTTCTCCGAACCTCCTTTAGCGCTGGTTGGTGCAAATTGGTTTTGCGCCTCTCAGTGGACAGGTGCAATCGGGTTTTGCGCCCTTTCTTCTGATTGGGCTGTGATACCTCTCAATTCCCCGAAGGTCAATTGGGGCAACCGAGTTTTGTGCCCTTTCTTCGGACTAGGCAGCAAAACTTCATCCGCCAAGCACTGAT